TACATTGAAGCTTTCTAGTTCATCTATGTAAATATTCTAGGAGACCCGACGTTGTTTTCTTTTTACATAAAGTTTTACATCAGTATATGATGTTTCTGAATGAACAAATTTTTTCTTTATGTAAGTGCGTAGTTAAATAATATAACTGTAACACTGTCGGAGTTGGCTCTTTAAAGTAAAAATAAATGAGGAAAGTATACACAGTGTGTGCTTTCATTAAATGATCCAAGTTAACTCAACACGAAGGTAGCCATAACAATTGCCAATGATATTTAATCGACTGTATCTTCGTTTCCGGTCGACGACGTTATAAATGAATGGTTAGAGCAATGGCTAAATGAGACTTACGAAGTTGGGTTGTTGAAGGACACGGCGTAGACCACATTCTTATGGCCTTCGAGAGTAAAAAGCTCCGTTCCACTGTCAATGTCCCAAACTTTACACGTTCGGTCGTAGCTGCCTGTCAGGCATCTGTCAGGAAGAAAAATCGTCAGAAAAAGAACGCTTCGAACTTTTCCTAGACAGAGGCGCCTATTATCGATTTTACTTTAAAATAAAATAAAATTACAAGCCTAGATTTAAGGGTTTAGTGTCACCCATCACTTTGTTGTGCATCCATTGCAATGGACTGTGGCACCAAAGCCGAATGCAATTAAATTTAGAATATTTCTAATCAGATCATTCCCATTATTATCAGTTCTACTTCAAAAGAAAAATAAATTCCAAGCCTACTTTTTCGATTCGCAAACCAATCAAGCGCCTTAACGAGCCCCCAAAGTTTGTTCGGCCATCTCAGAGTCAATCGTTATGCGCTGCATGAGATAATTGTACCGTCGCAGAGCGCAATTAAATTTACAACTGCGGTCGAAGAATCTTAATCGGGAGTACCTTTTACCTAGTTTATCGAACGCGATGTTCGTAAGAGGCAGAAGATGGGTCTGCAAGGTTTTGTATTTGTAGTAGCGCTTCGCGTTTGTGTCGCAAACTTTGTCTTGCAGCTTCTGCAGGGTCTCCACTAACTGCTCCATTACACTTTCGGTGATTACGGGCTCGTCCGCCTTTATGCTCTCCGCTAATGCTCTTATGTCTGTTCTGCAAGTAATTATACACTCGCGTGATTTTTCAAATTAATGCTACACGTGCTTAAGGAGGTATTTTCCTTAACATTTTTCGGCTGCAAATATGTGCTTATGTTCAAGATACTTATGTTATCATCATCATGTATATTGAATGTATTATATTATAAACAATACAATAATACAGAATATAAAGATGTTCATGCATATATTCTACATATAAATTTTATAAGTGCGGATATAATAATGTCTTGCATATATTATATTATCATCATCATGTATATTGAATGCATTATTATATAAACAATAGAGTAATATAGAATCTATACGTATACATACTATGAATGTGTACCTAAAAATATCCTGCATATATCATATTATCGTCACCATAAATTAAATAATATAGAATACATACATTCTATTAAAAATATGTATACACAAATAAAAATATAATATACAATTACTTATATTTTATTATTTCATCATACCATCTTGTACACATTCTACAAATCACTAACTTAACAAATATTTTACAAAGACCAATACCCTCGATTTGTTAAGATTATTCTTAAAACACCAATGAAATAAAAAAAAGAATACAACAAAAATGATTTCAACCCAGAAAGCAACTCAACGATAAAAAATAAAGCTGGAAATAGAAGACACTATTCGACACGAAGGTAAGTATGGGAAATTTTAATTACTCTGCCGTCAAATCCAGGAGATCGATTATCTTCGTCTTGACGTCACCACCCTGCGTGTACTCCAAGGCGAGGCCTGCGAAAAGAATGAAAAATTCCGGGAAATTACAACCTATTAATTTCGTCGAAAATTCGTGGATTCTGCTGGGTGTACCTGGCGGAAAGTAACGGAGCAAAAACTTCAGCAGCTTCATGTGGACGTTCCAATTACAGACGCGTCCAGTGTTTCAGGCAGCGCGAAAACGAGGGGTCGCGGAATTTAATTATAAAACGTAATAGTCGCTGCACGAAAATTACGCGAATCCCGGACGTTGCTGTCAGTATAATGATCAGTAACCATCGACGGAGCAGGTCGAACTGGTTCGAGTAATTTGGAAAACAACGGAACCGCGGTTACCAAGGGGTGCTTGGTCGATTCTAATCCCTTTCTTAGGCAAAGATTTACAGCCAGGGGGTTTCCCCACCGTCAAGATTAAGGAACATGACCTCTAATCGTGTACTATGTCGGTTAATATGGGTCACTGCCTACTGATTACAGGATGAGGCACTTAAGATGGCCACTTTAATGACTTCGGATATTTTTGGCGATGAGTAAAGATGGGTTAAATAAATATTCCTTGGTTCTGAGAGCGATATTACCATGTATCAGTGGTTTTTTTTTCAGGAACGTGGAAGTATAGAAGAGATATCAAACATCGAGATAATTGTTGTAATAGAATTATGTTTCTCTGTAAGAGAATACTATGATTAAATAAATACATGTAAAGTGAACGATCTTCTTGTTAAATTACACTTTGGTGTCTTTATTTTATTATATTAACACGTCTATTGTATGTTATTCTGTTGTATTTGTTATCATTTTTATGTTTGGATTAACAATCTATTTACTAAAACTTTATTTTTGAAGTATCGCCGGTAAGTTGCATTTATTCTTGCAAGTTTCATGCTAGATTAAATAAAAAATATTATTTAAACATGCGAAAGTATGTTAGAAACAATCGCACACTTCAATTGATTACCCAATTACAATTTAAATAAATAAATTTGAAAAAGCCTCGTTTATGGACCCACAAATGGTATCGCCCGAAGCACAAGCTGCTCAAGTGAATGTGTAAGAGAGAGAAAGGATCATGAAAGACAAAGATAGCGACACGCCACCGAATGTTGGTAAACATTATCAATAATTTTCTAACTTTCCAAGAAAAATTCATCCACTTTTGCAATTTTGTTGTCAAGTATAGATCACTAGCAATATTCAAGGACCATTTTCGATACGATTTCCATTGTTATGAAGTGATAATTAATTATTGTTCGTCAACGTTAAACCTATATATATATATATATATGTACACCGGTACACGGCATTGTTCACACCTCGCATTAATCGATTGTTTATTAATTATCAGCAGATAATTTCTGCACTTTGATGCATCTTGAATAAAGTCTGGACCAGTAGCAACTTTCTATGGCCATTCGCGATACGATTTTTCGATGAGATAACCTATGCGAAATTGTTTATGAAGAGTGACAGGTATCCTTCGTGTGAGTACGAGAGAGAACGAAACATGTGCGACAAGGATAGATAACGTTTTTTTTTTTTTATAATATATGTATATGCTTGGAATCCATGTATGAAATACAGCTATCGTTCGTGACCGTCGACTGCCTCGATGTTACGAAGAGATACATAATAATTTATATGATGTTTCGCTTTTGAATAGTTTTACACAAATGTTACAGAATATAAAGAATATATGAAAAGTCTAACTTTCAGGCTCGGCTTGCAAATGATTAACTGAGTATGTATAATATTAGAATTAAGTATAACAAAAAACCTAATATCCCAGTCCAGAGTGAGAATAAGTGTGAACAAATAAGAATAAATGATGCATATTAAACAAAAGGAAAAATATTGTTTCTTAAATGTAAATAATTTAATGAAGAAATAAAATAGAGACCAAGTATGGAAGGATGAAAGTTTAAAATAAAATGTAAAGAATGATAAAGGAATGGATGGATGAGAACAAGAAAATCATATAAGTTGTAATAAATGTTAAAAATAGTGCATCACACAGTAGTGTATTCAGGATGTAAACTTTCCTTACAATCCACGCAACGCAATCAACGCGACAGACTCGCCATCTCGCGTAAAAACTCCCGAAACTCAAGTGCATGTGAAAGAGAGGGAAAGGAATATATAAGACAAGGATAGAGTGAGCTCAGGGTAAGATAGAGAAAGGTATATAGAAGACAAGGATACAGTGAGCGTGAGGGAAAGAGAGAGAAAGATATATATACATAAGACAAGGATACAGTTAGGGTGAGCGAAAGAGAGAGAGAACGGAACATGTGCGACAAGGATAGCGATTGCAATGGCGCCATCTGCTAACAGAACGCTCAAGCTTGTCATGAAATAGTTCCACCATTTCACCGCTAGATGACGCCAGCAATTTAAATTCTAAAAAACGTAATAAAAACCGAAAATTCCTATTACAGGTCAATTTTTTAATGCTTCAGGAGCATTAAAAAATCTCGTTAACATTCATTGTTTAATCAAATAAATTAATGAATTAATTTGCATATAAACGTATGGTAAAAGGTAAGCGGCGAAACGATGAAACTATTTGATAGTAGATGGCGCCACCACAATCGCTATCCTTGTCGCACATGTTCCGTTCTCTCTCTCTTTCGCTCACCCTAACTGTATCCTGTATATATACCTTTCTCTCTCTTTCCCTCACGCTCGCTGTATCCTTGTCTTCTATCCTTCCATACTTGGTCTCTATTTTATTTCTTCATTAAATTATTTACATTTAAGAAACAATATTTTTCCTTTTGTTTAATATGCATCATTTATTCTTATTTGTTCACACTTATTCTCACTCTGGACTGGGATATTAGGTTTTTTGTTATACTTAATTCTAATATTATACATACTCAGTTAATCATTTGCAAGCCGAGCCTGAAAGTTAGACTTTTCATATATTCTTTATATTCTGTAACATTTGTGTAAAACTATTCAAAAGCGAAACATCATATAAATTATTATGTATCTCTTCGTAACATCGAGGCAGTCGACGGTCACGAACGATAGCTGTATTTCATACATGGATTCCAAGCATATACATATATTATAAAAAAAAAAACGTTATCTATCCTTGTCGCACATGTTTCGTTCTCTCTCGTACTCACACGAAGGATACCTGTCACTCTTCATAAACAATTTCGCATAGGTTATCTCATCGAAAAATCGTATCGCGAATGGCCATAGAAAGTTGCTACTGGTCCAGACTTTATTCAAGATGCATCAAAGTGCAGAAATTATCTGCTGATAATTAATAAACAATCGATTAATGCGAGGTGTGAACAATGCCGTGTACCGGTGTACATACATATATATATATATATATATATAGGTTTAACGTTGACGAACAATAATTAATTATCACTTCATAACAATGGAAATCGTATCGAAAATGGTCCTTGAATATTGCTAGTGATCTATACTTGACAACAAAATTGCAAAAGTGGATGAATTTTTCTTGGAAAGTTAGAAAATTATTGATAATGTTTACCAACATTCGGTGGCGTGTCGCTATCCTTGTCTTTCATGATCCTTTCTCTCTCTTACACATTCACTTGAGCAGCTTGTGCTTCGGGCGATACCATTTGTGGGTCCATAAACGAGGCTTTTTCAAATTTATTTATTTAAATTGTAATTGGGTAATCAATTGAAGTGTGCGATTGTTTCTAACATACTTTCGCATGCTTAAATAATATTTTTTATTTAATCTAGCATGAAACTTGCAAGAATAAATGCAATTTAGACAACGTTCGATGCAATACAATAGTCTTACCATAGTTTACAAAGAATTCTTTGTAAATAGATTATTGTTACAAATTTCAAACTTATAAAATTTAGAACAGAGTAACATACAATAGTTGTATTAACATGATACGTCAAATACAACAAACTAACGCTTAAAACATTCAAAATACGGCAAGATAGAAAAACATATGTATGTATGTAATATTATGTACTTACTCAGCTGTTCATTGATTATGTTAACGTTGTCATAGTAATTAAATGTACGCGTTATTTTATTGACATCGACGTCATATACAATAATATTGTATATTCTTGTGATATTATATTGAATTAAACGTATATCTTGCATATAAAATTAGTAATTCAATTATTTCCGATCATAACCTTACATTATTTGATAGAGAACTATTGTTAACTTTCTTTAACATCTTAAGTTGGAATAATTGATCTAAATAATGTCTGTGGATCATAATGAAAGATATATTTTCGAGGCTGAATGGTATGACAAGATAGCTACTATCCTAAAAAAGTTCTACTTATATTATTACCCCTACGACAATACAGTAGAATTGGTATGTCTAGCATAAAATGTCCTTAATATTTGGAAAAATAAATATTTATTTGCTTCGTATGCATTTCAGTTTGATTTAAAAGCTAGAAAAACTTTCCTAAGAAGAACACAATGCGAAGGTATTCAAGCAAAGGACTTTTATGTAGGCGCAGTCGTGACAATATTTTCAAGGAATATAAAAGTATTGGACTATGGGGATTGCATTACACGGACAAAACTGCAGACAAAAATGCAAAAGTGAATTTAATATTACTGAGATCATCCAAAAGATGCTATTATTAAATTTCCTAGAATATCATTTTTCTTTCTAGAACTTTCGCAATTGTAAAGACAGAAGTTCTGGACAAGTTGGGTGAGATACTAAAACGAATAATGTTCTGCAATTTTCGCATTACAAACATTAAAATGGTCAAATTGACTAAAGATGAAGCAGCAGCATTTTGTCAAGATATGGGAGATGATACTAATATAGCGTATGATACAAAGCAATGCTAAATGTATCCTTTAAATACAAGCTCTATATCCACTTTGTGTACTTTTTCATTAGGTATATTGTAAATCAACTTACCTCCGGTCCTATTGTGGCTCTTGAATTATTGGGTGATCATGCAGTTACTTATTGGCTCGAAGTGATGGGGCCAGAAGATAGCGAGGAAGCTAGAGCTAAAGCTCCATCCTCTCTCAGGGCATGTTATGGTAAAGATAGCGTTCATAACGCGGTGTACGGTTCATCGAACGAAGAAGCAGCTATTAGGGTGTGCATACTTACTAATGTTTGTATTACCTTGGATGTATACTAATGCAATATTATCGGTATCATTCTTCTAGGAGCTACAATTCTTTTTCCCCGATTCAAAAAGTAAATTGAGAGGACCTTCTAATACAGCTACTTTAGAAAATTGTACTTGCTGTATCATTAAACCACATGCTGTTCAAGCTAAATTGACTGGTACATGAAATTACCTTTAATTAAAACATTCTTTTCGATAATATTGCATTATTCTTGACCGTTCATTACCATAGGACACATTATCGATGACATTCAGAAAGCTGGTTACACCATCTCTGCTGTGCAACAATTTAATGTTAACCAATTCGACGCGGAAGAATTTTTAGAAGTTTACAAGGGCGTCCTCCCTGATTATGGGGTATGTTTATATACGAGTATATCAGCAAATTTTATTTCAAGAAAATAATAATTTTGGCTTTAGGCAATGGTAGCTGAATTACAATCAGGGCCATGTATCGTTATGGAATTAAAACACGAAGATAAAAATTTCGACGTTCAAGGAGAATTTAGAAAATGGTGTGGACCGATGGATCCGGTAAATATACTTTTTGTTTTAATTTTAAGAATAATGTTTACATTGCCATTTCACGTAGGACATCGCGCGACAAATAAGACCGGATACGCTTCGAGCAAAGTACGGGAAAACCAAAGTACAGAATGCTATACATTGCTCTGATTTACCGGAAGATGGAAGTTTAGAGGTACAGTGGCTCAAGTACACTTATGCATACACATTCTACAATGGTTCACTTCATTTATTAACTTTATTCAGGTGGAATATTTCTTCAAAATTCTCGACAGAAGCTAGACACCGAAGAATAATGTGTCAAACATACGTACTTTGTACGAGACAAATCAATTAACTATTATCCGATACTTATTCATTATACCCATTGTTGTATGTACATTAATAAAATACAAACATGCCACGCTTAACATTCCATCGAAAACAATGTTAACGGACCGAAGAAATTTTTTAATAAAATATTTCTAGAATGTATCGCGCAGCCAAAGATGTGAAATTTTTTTGTACACTTTTGTAATAAAGAATGCTTTAATAACTTGATGTCTCTTTTTATTGATTATTTATTTTCTTATAAAGGGATTAAGTAATACACAATGAAATCAATTGTCTCGCAATTACCGTAGACTTTAATTAATAAATTGATAATAATTAATTAATTCTCAAGGAAAGTTGTGCTCATGGAGAAGACAATGAAACAATATTTTCTTTCAATCAGTTCTTTATTTTATCATAATGAAAAGGTTACGATTGATAACTCTAGTCGACATATACAGCGGTAGGGCTGTCATCGGTGACCTCGGCCAATTCATTTGTCAAACATCAGTTTTTCTTTCTTACGCATCTACTGATACAATTATTTATCTTATTCAGGGGAAAGTCAATAATGGAATCGCCGACGACTAAAGCTAAATATAAGTAATTGTTTCTTTAAAAGTACTTTACAGATAAGAGAAACGATAGCAGGTTTGTAACGTTCGCACCAGCGATTCTATTACCCAAATTAGGGAACTATTTCCAGATAATGGAACGCTATATATTTTGACGATGATTCTTCCATGTTTCAGACAAAGTAAAGAAAAGAAAGTCGCGGACCCGTCTCATAGATTAAACTCCTGCAACCAATTGCCATTAATGGCAATCCATCCATTCCAAATCCGCTACACGATGTGCTTATCCTGCCTTAATAACGGCATAATGATGTGTGTCAAGGATTTGCGGCGCCTGTCGTGATGAAAAGTTGTAGAAACGCGTCTGCTTCGGATGGCTAGACGAAACGATACTCTTATTCTTGCGGTTTCGCGATTTATTAAAACTGTTGCGACGTCTAATTAATTCCTCTTTAATTCTCCACTCAGGAAGCTAAACAGCTCTATGGTTGCAGCACAGCATGAGGTTTTTCCTTCTTTATTTTATTTAGTATCCATTAAGATTAAATAAGTATAATAATAATAATTAAAGACGACTAAATTTTATTTGTTTGATATATCCTTTTTTATATTTTATGTTACTCCCTTTACTAATATGCTGTTTTGTGTTTCCCGTTACTTTAATTAACACTAAAGTTACCACAGCTGGTCAAATGACTTTGTGTGGTTTCTTATATAAAATATATAAATTATATACAATTGTTTCATATATTATTCGACTTGATAACAAGTGAAATATTTTTGCAATCAATTGAAAAAGATGTATTTAAGACATGTTATTTAACCGATCGAGGTAGAAATAGGTACCGATATCGATAGGTTTAGTGTTAGTTAATTGACTTCGAACGAAACAATTTTAATGCAGCTTCAAAGTCTGGCAAACGATAATTGTTTAAAATTATTTCCTCAATCTGCTTTCGAAAGCGAGGTGATTGTTATGTAATAAAACTATAAATCGTTAAATTAGTTTGTTCTGATGTCTATGAAAACCTAAAGATTATACATGACTCATCCAGGATATTCTCGTGAAAGAAATCACCTTCTGATAAATAAGTTTTATATCGGTATAGTGACAGCTGCATTAATTCATAAGGCTCGAAGTGTTTGCATCTTCAAAAATAACCGAGACATTCAGGTATTTTACTACTTTTTGCTACCTTGGTATACAAGCGAACGGACATGTGTTGTTCTTCGGGAACGATGTTACAATCATTCGGGTCCAGGTAACTACTATAATGACTATCGTCAAGGTAGCGATCAACGGAATTTTATTACGGTTCGAACGAGGAGTTAAGAAAGCAAAAACAAGTTATACGTTTCGTTGGTTCATCTTCGGAGACTTTCAGAAATTAAATGTGAAAATCTTCCGTTCGAGATACAGTAGATAGTTGGTAGGAGGGCAACGATTATCGTTAAGACTAACAAAGCACGAACCAGAAGAACTGTAAATTACAGCGTACATAAAAGAAAGTGGTCGACGCAAGCATTTGAATCTCGTCTGTATTCTCGTCGGTAAGAATGCTAGTTATTGCTGTTTTTTAACAGGACAATTACAAAGTGTGTAACAGAAGCGCAATGTGTTTATCATGAAAATTTCGAATGGTTTTAGTGAAATACAATCAGTAAGTAAGCGGTTGTACTCCTGTTCTGCTTTTATATTAACGATTTCGTTTCAAGGACAATATTTTTATTTACAGCGTGAACATACTGACTTTATTCACTAAATAACGCAAGAGAAAATGCAAACATAAACTGTATCGAGCTGAATTGCAAGAAGTGAAAAAATCGCTAAGGTTTATACAAAGCAGGTAAACATTGCATACACGATTTCAAATTGTTTCAACGCGATACATTTTTAGTAAGTACCTATATCTATACTTATAAATAAGTTCCAAAGACAGTATTTTTATTTACCACACGAAAATACTGTTTTTATTTCCTAAATAACGCCACAAAAAAAAAAGATAAAAATGTAAACGCAACCTGCATCGAGCTGAACAGGAAAAAGATCGCGAAAAAATCGCCGATTTCCAAATCAGGTAAAGATTGGTGTTGCGATCGAGTCGAACTTGTGTCGTAAGAAAGGGCGTTGATCGGACAGGTGCACGAACGCATCCTCTGGCGAATCGGGAAACGCGTTCCCGAGGAATTTCACAGAAAACACACGAACCGGTTCGCTTATCCGGAGCACGCTCGGTATCAATGAAGACAGAAATCGGCGGTGGCTTCGCGGTCACGCTCTTAGAGCCGATTGGCGTATTAGAATACGTGTATTTTCGTGTCGGTGTTGGTGCCACGATCGGGCCTTCCAGTACCGCGCTTGACAGCGCGCAGAACGGACCCATCGCTCGTTGTTCTGGGGTCTGTAACGTCGCCCACACCATCAGAAACTCTTCATTAGATTTTTTAATCGAAAAACGGTTCGCGCACATTGCGAACGATCGTCTCTATTCGCGATTACATCGAATTTTTGTTACGGCTGGTTCGAATTCGTCCAACTGCGCGTAGGACTGAAACATTCGGTGAAAAAAGTCGGTGATCGGCAAATTTTCAAAACGGAAAGTAGGCCCTCCTTGTGTGGCTGACCGAGAATTCGTCAGGAAAGGAAGCGCGTCGTCGTGGCTCTTCCTGGTCATTGGACGCTGGACAAACGTAAGTCGTCTTTTCGTGGATTTAGATTGATTAATCGATCGCGAATCGAGCCAACGTATGGTGGTCGATTGTGTGACGCGCTGGGTAGATCGAACGGCGAGACTTTTATCTGGTCTTTGGTATTCGGGGAATATTAAACTCTGTACAAATTTTTGGATTCCCTTAACGAGCGATGAATAAACTGTTGTTTAGTTCTATTCTAATTAGTTGAAAATTGTATGCACATAGACCAGAATTTTGCTTATCGCGAAGCAAACCATCGTAAGGTCGAGTCGTCTGATCGCATTGCACGAAATATTTGAAATGATTGTATCGATCGTCATGGAATCTTGGAACTTTCTAAATTCGTGGGTATTCGTAGTCCTCCCATGCAATGATAAAACATCTTCGAACTTTACCCTTTAGTTATCATCGGTAAATATGAAATGTGTTCTAAACACTCAAAAATGAGAAGAAATTGAATATTTTTAACGTTTTCAATTACTTATGAAATGTCACAAGTGTTCCAAGATCTATGTTTCTGAAGTTTTTATGCAATTAATTCGAAAACGTTAGCAATCGTCCAAAACTGGGTTCCCATGACAACGTTGGACATAATTTTATTGTAACAATAGATGACGCTTTAAAACACATACATATAGCAATATATCGTCGACATTTATTCGATTGAACAGCTGCACAGATCATTTTTTTATTGCGAAATACATTTTCATTTTAGAATTCAAAGTCTAATTTTCATTTAACAAACGACGAATAAACGAGTTAGATATAATTTAAACCAAGTAATTTGAACAAAATGTTACAAGAATAATAAAAATGATAAACGGGCAATATCGACAAAAGGCATCGGCATATTGGCCTCAAACGTCATCGCTCGGCGGCATGAAAGTCATGAATTATAAATCGATTATTAGCGAATAATGATAAACAGTCGGTATAAATTAGTTTTACAAGTTTACATAGTACGCGCGTACTTGCGTCGAACGTAAGACGATTCTGTGCTTTCAAACGAGAAGTAATTAATAGCGAAGCGAAGGCACGGCGTTCTCCCTTCGAATTTTCTATTTGGAACGAAAACTATCGCGAAAGGTACGAAAATGGTACCGCTCGATGACGTACGATATTGTCTACGCTCGTCCGTGCCGAATTAGACAGTGACGCGTGTCTGAGGGTACTAATAATGTAATTTGTGAGTTCCTTTCAATGCTCTCGACGGACTTGGCTGTTGCGCCGGTGGCAATAGGCAAGAATTTTTAATAAAGCCGCGCATCTGACCGAGATCAGGCTCGACGACATCGAGCAAAGCGTAAAAGCTCGTCCTTCGCTCCGATTCGTGAACGATACTTTTCATTAAAAAGCACGTTTGTTGACATGTAAACGTTGGGTAAGAACATCTTGGTTTCGACTCTTTCTACTATTACGATGATCAACGATTCGATTCTAGATTAGTTGATTAACACGTTGGCTGTCGAACTAAAAACTCGTGAAAATTTCTCCAAGTTTAAAATTTCCCATCGAGACTGCTGCATATTAGATAATTCAACGTTTGTTGTAGTAGTATTTAATTGTTTAACTTATTTAATTCACAAATCCTCTCCAAATTTATTTTCATTATCCTTAATTTTGGAATTAATTTCTTTAGTTCCTTAATGAAATGTCCTGTCATCTATTTCTGGAGACCAACGTGTTAAACTTCATTTCGATGTCGTAGGATGCAACCAAGAAATTCTTCGTATCCTTCAACGAGTCATGTGGATTGTCTGTGATTATTAGACTGGGGATGCTTATGTATTCATGGCTAGTGAAATTGTCAGAAAATACATGGAAAATTGTGCATGAATGGAAAAACATAAAATTACATTGTTTAGAAGATATTTAACAGAGAAGAAATTTAACAGAGACGGAAAATAAATCATGTGTTAAACTGTGTAGAAGATAAGACATACTTTACTAAATTTATAGAAACATCTGCAGTCTAATAATTAAGAGGATCATATGCAACAATCGAAACATTGTAGATTATTTTAACAAAGTTGCTCTGTGATTCTATAATAAGTAATATTACATTTCATTGTCGATGATTAATTAATTACTTTAAATACTATCAGTATCGGTTTACGGAAGCTTCTTTGGGGGAGGGGGGCGTCTCGTAAAGTAATTAAAAATGACACACTTGGCGATCCAGCTGTCATTGCCGCTTTACTCGAAGAATAGGAACTGACAAGAAGATCCGAGTTAATGCCAATATCCTGCAAAGAAAAGGGAAAGAGAATTTTAGACGTTGCGTGAAGAATTATCATATTAAGATGTCAAGTTTCACAACGACGTTTCGAAGTATCTAAATAACGCTAGGGTGCTTGGTTTGCGCCAAGGTTCTCTTCAGACCTTGACCCAGCCACGACCCGTCTGAAAGCGAAATAGCCTCGGACGCTTAGCTTCGAAACATCCTTAAAGACATGTTGACGAAGAAACGGGAGTTGGACGTATTATGTCCTTGCTTGATGACTTATTACGTCCGTATCATCAATTTTATCGAATTATAACATATTAAGTGGTACTAACGTTTTACAGTATACATTTCCAGCAACGACTTTTCAAAATTTTATTGACAAATTTTCGAAAACGTCGACGTTATGGTGGTTTCAGTGCGTCAGGGTTTCCAAAAAAAAAGACATTTCCGGTACCAAAGATGTCTGTGTTATCTAAAATAGAAAAAATATTCCGTTAAAGAAGATGCATAAAACTATCCCTATTCTCAGCCCTTTGAGTGGTATGTAACTCCTTGACACTAAATCAATAAATAATCAATGCATATTTGTTATATTATAGACACAGGTATATATTTGTAATCAGAAACAGGAGCAATTCAATTTATAGAGGCATTGTTAGCAATTGAGTAGTTTTTAAAGAAAATTTACGATACATACATCGAATTGATCCTTAACATTAAATCAATAAATAGTCAATGGATACTTATTATAGGCACAGGTATATATTTATAATCAGAAGCAGGAGCAAATCAATCAGTTAACGACTAACAAGTAATTTAAAAAAAAAAGTTTAAGATACATGTATCGAATTGACCAGCTTGGTTTGGTGTTCATGGACCACTTGCATCAGACTCAAATGAATCGTTATCCACCAACTATACCAGCGATCCAATCGCAGATTTCAAGGAATGGTTGACGAACGACTCTGAAAATGTTGCCTGATAAACAGTGCCAATCAATCGTATCGCACGAGATTTCTTTAATCCCCGATTCACTCTCCTGAATCGTGATCCCCTAATTGTTTTCAGCAGTGTATCGTCCGTGCCATTGGTCAATGACGCAGATCGTACGAATTGCCAGCGGAGCATCGTACACACGTATACCCGGTGACGCGTATCGTGGACTACTAACAACGTAATTTGTGAGTTCCTTTGAACGGACTCCGGAGGGACTCTTGACGGAGTCGCATAGGAGTCGTAGAATAGTCGACGGCCTCAATGCACTTGACCCGGTTCGACGACGTCGTCGTCGTCGGGGTGCAACCAGTGAAAGCGAAATGGAAATCGAACACGAGTTGATATTTTTTATCTCCTCCCTTCCATATCGTGGAGAGATAGGAACAACATTCAAACCGATTCAAACAGAACCAATCTCGATATTTCGAATGTCCTTACGCATATTAATATTCATTTTCAGTTGTATCCTTGCATTTGGAATAATAATATTCACGAATGTATCCTTACGTTTATTGCAAGTAAGAATATTTATGAATCTGTAGTAGTATCTTATTTGAACTTATCGGATACGAAATGGACTTTGTTACAATTTCTTTCTGTGTGTTATAATATTCTTGCAATTTAGAATAATAATATTCACGAATGTATCCTTACATTTATTGTAAGTAAGAATATTTATGAATCTATAGTAGTATGTTATTTGAACTTATCAGCTATGAAATGGACTTCTCTTTGTGTCTATTCTTATACATTCTAACTCTACATACACCAAGCAATAAACTTAAAACTAAAATTCAAGACTAAAGTACCTATCACACGATACACTATCGCATACAAACTACAACCTAAATCATCTTTGGTCTCGTTTTTGGTAACTAAATCAAACGAAAAAATCCGACAAAAATAGGTAATTTACAAGTGACAGTACAAAACACGAGCAATCCTTCGACAATTACAATAAAAATCACTCTCAGCAAAGTCTGAAGCGTTGGTTTAAAAAATGTCTAACTTGGAATGCAATGACCCTACCACGTCGCTCGTAGATTTCACCTAAGCGCGATGTGTAATATTTGAGCACGATATTTCTTTCGCTCGGGAGAAACTCGTAAATCTGCATGGGATTTGGTAACGGCTGTCGCCGTGTTTACGTAACGAGGGATTTTACACTTATTGTTGGAAATCTGTGTCGCGAAGATTAGCAGACCGATAAGACCATGGCGTTAGAAAGTAATCACGAAACGAGACAAATAAAAATACATCGGGAGAGGGACGAGTTTGACGCGATGTAAATATTGAGTGAATCACCGAGTGAGGTGGCCTGATAATGGCAGAGAACGCTATCTGTATGCAAATTTTAAAGGTCTAGATCCTTTCATTGGCTCCGTTCAACAATTTTTGTTGAAAGCTACAATAATGAATCTATTTCGTATACCACGTTGACTGCCAGATAAATATGCTTGAAACTTGCTGCTAGGATTTAACATAATTCAGGGAATTTATTATTGGAGGTTACATAATCAAACATGTATCGTGGTATTTATTTCTGTATCGAAGTTCATGAATTTCATTTAAGTACATTTCTTTTGAAATTGAAAAACTCGATTTAAATTTAAATACTATTCCCAGCAAATAAAATCACAACGACTCCGAATTATTCAATGGACTAAAATACAGCAGCGTGAAAGTAAAGCTACTGAATGGTCACGGTGCACCGCATCGGCAACATCGATGTAATCCAATCAAACAACGTTCGTGAAAAGAAAAAAAAAATTAACTCGTTCGAGTTACGGGAAACCGATAATCGATACCCCCGGCCGCCTATTATGATACACGTGTTGCTCGAATGCCTTTTTGATTCACTTACATCATTCCGTTTTCGCGCGATAATAAGATAATATCGTAATGAGGCTGTTAAGACAGGTTCGCGTTAAATTGCTTCAAATTTGCGGGTACGACGACCCAACTCCTCCGTTTACCTTGTATTTGTTTGAACGATTCGTGACGAGCAAAGATCTTCCTTTACGATCGTTTCCTTCGAGTTTACCATTTCCGTCTTCGATTTGAAAGTAAACAAATACTAATATTGAATTTAGATTCACAACTTTCATACTAGATTTTTCTATACTTTGAAAAATAATCGAAGATAAGTTATCGATCAAATCAGATCTTCTATTTGTGTATACACGAGAAAATATATAATTTCTCATCAAAGAGAATAAATCGAGTCTGAGAAAGAATTTTCGCGAATGTAGGAACCTAAATTGGAAAAGATTCGGTATCGGTCAGGTTTAGAACAATGTTTGTTCTCGATACGAATGTTTAAAATAACTTTTATACTTTCAATATTTCCTGTCTAGGACAGAATAGAGTAATTCGTCTAGACGATTGATAAAGACGGGCACGGAAGTGTTCTTAGCGACTCAGGACACGTTTTCTATTCAAGGCTCGGATCATTACGTATGGGGGGGATCGCAAGACAAGTACATACGGAATTCTCGTACTGATTTGGACTCCTTGACACGGTCAAGACACGCGAAGGTTAGAAAGAAAACGTTCGAATACATTCTAACGAAAGACGCGGAAACTGTCCAACAGAAATCGAAACTACCGTATATACAATTTAAAACACTTCAACCACAACTATAAGTACGAAGCAACAATGTTTTTCGTTCTATGTTAAGACTATCGAATCAAGCCTTTGCACAAATCGATTAACTTCAATTATTGAAAAATCTTAAATTTAAGTGTCAAAGCTCTTGGCACAGTTATAACCTTTTATATTTCATCGCATTTCTTAACTTTTTCTTTCATGGAGTTAATCGAGTTAATCGATCTGAGCAATGAACAGCTGAAATCATAGCAAGCTCTAAGCTGTAGATCTAGAATTAGAATCTTTCTTCCTCATTGTGAAGATGAAGTCGAAGCAATGCTGGTTTATTCCATGATTATCAACAAATTCTTCTTTTTTTCTCCAGAACCTAATCTAAATTATATCAATTCTTCCTGACGGAAAATTCCTGTAGATAAACGTTCAGCGTATAATTACACGTTCTCGGGCGCGACGAATCCGACAGCCGCGCGCGGTCGATCGCGCAAAAACCGCATCGTTTCAGCGTTTTTTCCACCGTTAGGAATTTTCTACGTTCTGAAAAAATCTTTCAGGAAGAGGATACTTAGCACTCAGCTCGTCCACAAAGTCCGACGATGCACGAGTTATGCAATTACATTTGTAATGGGCGAACATTCAGCCCCGACAACGCCGGCAATTCGCGGTAATTACTGTGGCGTATCTCGTAATCGTTGCGGGTCGCGTCGTCTACGAAGACTTTGCTTCTGATAGGAGAAATAGACCAGGCCCCGGTAGATTTAAAAAAACAATGCAACCGTTGGAAGCAATATTCTCTCGCGATGGTCGCTTTTTAAGTATAAATTTATCGTATTTTATTTCACAAAAACGATTTCAAAGAGGTTACATCTTCTCAGGTTTAGTCAGTGTGTCTCTGAATCTATGTAAGATGACAAAAGAGATATTATATTTATATATTATCTAATCAGGGAGAAAAATGGGAACTCATCTTTTCGTTGAAGAATAATTTGTCGTCTACTTCTTTGCTTCTAATAGAAAGAATAGATTAGGCCCAGCAGATCTAAAAAACAAGAATGCAATAACTAGAAGCAATTTTCTATTGCAGTAGTAGGTTCTAAGATTTTTGTCTACTTTCTGATTGTATTACCATCGAGTCGATCACGTAAGTCTTTAAAGTCAGACTTAGGAATGGGAAGCGAATTCACGACTTTACCAAAAAGTATACCTGCTTTAAGCCTTTGTTCGAAAAATATTGAACCAAGCAGTTCTGGACGACCTTCGACGAGATTCGACGCCTCATTATTACAACGAATAAGAAATGGCAAAATTAACGTCGCGTCACCCATACATTGGCGATAGTGCTTTTCACTGAAGAACTAAAAAAATTAATTCCGAAAGTGTCAATGAAAATGAATTGGAATGAAATACTTGAACTTCGATAAAGTCACAAAAGTAAATATCACAATTTAATATTCCATTAGCCTGCAAACAAAGTTTAACCTCGGTAGAAATTTTCAAGAGTATTAGTCTGGCAGTCAACGTGCCAACTCGCAAGTTATAGGTTTTCCCTTTCCTTCCCCGGATTAGAAACAAAAATATCGTTAAATGTGCACCGTTCCACGCGTTCAAGTAACCGTCAGTTGGTGTCTCCGGAAACGGACGCTGCGCCACAGATAAATATCCTCGGGACCTTCAATTCGTTATGTCACTGTTCCAGCATGAAAGGAAAAATGCAAGAATTTATGGGGAGTACTCGTATCGCGGTAAACATCTCGATTCGTGTCTTTCAAAAAGAGTTCTATCGACGCGCGAGTCGTAATCGCTCTATTGATTGCAGTAATCCACGAAGGAGGGGAATCATGGACAGTTTCCTTTCCCAAAAGCCTAGAATTTGCTCTCGTGTGCATGGTTGTTGCATAATCGCGCGCAGAATGCACGTCGAGAGAACCTTGTTGACATGGATGCTATTAAAAAAATAAAATAAAAAGTCAGTAGAAAAGATTTAAGGATTTCCAACAAAGACAAATTCTATAATTTGTAAAAATCCAATAAATAGTGAAAATTAAAGATTGATGTAATTTACTTGGACTTTGTGGAAGAGAACCGAACGAGGTTTCCAAGAGCTTCGAGTAACAGCTGTACATGTTGACAGGATAAGAAGATCAATGATAAGACGGTTACAGGCTTGCAGTCAGGCGCAAGGTAGTCATTTTCAGCGGCTATTATGATGGTAAGCATCAACGCAGGTTGTTGGCGATACATAACTCGGTTACAGAGTGAAATAGAACGTACGTTCACTGTATGAGAAGATTCTACATAAACATCAATTCTTAGTTTACAGATTTCCTATTTTGATTTAATAGATACTGTATAGATTATACATCTACTTACTGTAGACGGTTGAAAGCTTCTTAGAAATTCATATTCCTAATGAACAATCTCTACATGTGTAGAATGTCGCGCAGAATAATGGAACAGTCATAAATCAACCGTGGAAGATTAACATATCTTAGTGGCTACTTGTAAGTCTTGTAACTATTCAATAAATTACGTTTTGCGCGAGTTAACGAAGAAAACGAGCGTAAAGTTTGCGAGTGAAGGGGCGAAGAAAGCAGAATGTGCCGCGGCTCTATCATTAGCGGGGCTTCTAACGTTGCACGTTACGCAAAATAGCTATCAGTATTTTCAACTTCTTACATTTATCCTCCAAGAGCATGGAGTAATATCCTTGCATTTGCGTTCCTCAAATATCTTCCGTAATTACGAAGTAATAAAAGCAAATGTCATGAATTTTCACAATTGTTAACTGAACGATAATAAAACACTCTGATTATTTTTTAGACTAATTTGATTTCTTTAATTAACTGTGAACAGAGGGTGAACAGAGTGACAAGAACGATCAAAATTCTGCCTGAAATAATAATTATCGTTTCACCGATAGTTATACATTCCATGGAAATTGTAAAAGTATATAAAATTCACGGAAAATAAAGAACAATGTTTGTATCAAACAACAAGCAATAATAGTAATTAAATAAATCGATACTCCTCGTACACTTTCCGTGCAACTTTCAACAAATTAATCATTTCACGGAAGTGAGTGAAACAGCATTCCTTCGCTTCGAAGTCCAAGGTTTGAAAAAATCTAATTGTAAGGAAAGGAGGAATTTCCTTCCACCAAGGATATCTGTATAAATAATAATCGATCCCTGAGGTTATCGACAGACGCTGGTGTCGAACGGTGTTACAAGTCGAGAACTCTCTCGCAACAACGTGCAATTCGACTTCGAGACGAGGGCATTGCTATTCATCTTCTGGTGAAATGGAGTTGCAAACGTTCGCCGCGAATCTCCTTGAAATACCGAAAGTATAATACCGTCGAGACTGGAGGCGCGTCGCTTGATGAATTAGCGCCGTAATTTTCTTCCTATTGCTACATTACGACGATGCAACGACTTTCGCAGTCGTTTACTTTGTAAGTCCTTGCGCGGAGGAGTCGCTCCAATTGCGCGGCGCATAATAATTAATACTGTACCAATCTGATAAATGAATGTAATAGGAAACCGTATTGTAAGACGTATCAGTATTTCTCGGAACACCTGTGTTAAAGAACTGTAATTATAGCTGCAATTACAGCTCAATCGAAGATTCAACTATCGGAACGCTAACTAATGGAACGTTCAATTGTCTGACCAGTATCGTCTGGTAAAGATAACGGAACACCTATTGCTTGATATACAATTGTATTTCGAATTAGAACGAGGATCTACCCTGTCAACTTCGTATCTCTTCGTAGGTCTCATAGCTTGGCCGTGTGAAGTTCGCGCTCCAATATTGAAAAATTCAAATTTTTCTTTTTAATTTAAAAATGACAAGTATGCATTAGAATCGTTTTTTATTAATACTTGTATAACGATGAGAGCATTGAATGTTATTACAACAATAGGTAACAAAGTTTTAAAGAGTTAACAGTATAGAAGTAATAAACATGGAGAATCATTATGTAAGATTATTAGTTGAATCGTTTCACCTAACAACACTCTGCACAGCTAATGGCAAAGCAGATCACGTTTAGATACCATCTATCACACTCTTAGCCGCGTAAGTATTCTTATACAATGGTTTAGAATTTCTGTCGCATGACGCGTAAATAATAGTAGAGTATACACTCTTCACAGAGTTATCCAAATGTTTCCTAATGTGTTTCATTTACGAGTGATTTTCTTTTACTTTAAACAATTTTCTATACGCTATAAAAAGTTATCGCAGCAATTAAACTTCGCGTACATATTGTAATTTGTTTTACATAAATCATTCGAGCCACGTAAATGCTACTTTTGTATTCAAAGGAAAAAATTCTTGGTCTGAGGAATGAGTAAGCTCTTAAGCTTCTGGCCAGCAAAACTCTTGAGGAATGTTTCTGTTGTTCGGCGAACAGCGTGAATCCAGCTTAAAGTTTTGAAACGCGACACGTTGTTGTTGACAACGCCGTTTAACTTGCACACGATCGAGCAGCAACGCGTACTATAATATTAAATAAAACAGTGGTCTTGTTTGTAAAACAGCGCGCGAAGCGATTTCCAGGGCTCCGATTACGGGCTGCTTCTTGAACTTCGTACGCATGGCTCCGTTATCGGAAACTTCGGAAACAAACGGCAATCCGATAAAGAAAACACTAATTACGAACTCGGCATTTCAGAATGGCATTCGATCACCTTTTACGGTGAAAATCATAATACACTAAACCTGTGCTCGGTGTTTTGTAAAATTACAATTGAATTACTCGATATCCGGAGGTCTGATTTAATTAAATTACAATATTACTGTACTGTTCAAAGAATAGCTAAATTTTAGATTACACAAAGCTTACCATAAATTCCATTTGTATATATTAGGATCCTGAGATGTAAAGGATACATATTTTGAAAAGAACGAGTGTGGAAAACACGCGAATGTCATGGCAAATTGTGCGAGGCGAACAAACGATAACCGCGAGGTTCAACAATTTATGAATGACATTACGACAATAGGAAAGAAGTGCAACGTTCGAGCCGCCGTCTAGTATCTCTCGTGTAAGTGCATTACGCAATCCTGTCGTAGTTAATTATTATCATATAACTTCGCCGTTTCCGTCACACAACTCAGGCCTGAATTATTCATTTTCCCGTGACACACCACGCGAACTCTCGATATCTAGTCGATTTCTTTGCGTGATTCGATTAATCTGATAAACGGAAATTCCGTTTCGCGATGCTGTTGCTGCTTTATTGACGATAGCAACAATTGCATGCAACACTGTCGGAAAATGAATTAAAGATGAGGGAAGGTCCGAGGAACAGAAGACCATGATTCGAAGGTTAGACAATAGATAACGATAGAACAACAAACGGCCGACGAGCGTGGTACGAACAAACGTTCCTCTTTCCCTTCATCGATCGAAACATCGCTCGACAAACTCTCATTAAGCTCGAAACATTGTTCGTGTGTTACCTTCGCTTCTAATTTATTGCCCTTGATTAAACGACAGTTACTCATGAGCATACGTGTTTTACGATCGACTTATCACCAAGTAGTATCTAAGTACTACAGGGGAAAAAATGTATTGTTTGTTATAAATATGCTAAGTTGAAAGTCAAATGAATTGATAGAAAGAAATAAAACGGGTATGATTTTATTGTACTGCAAAATTTGTCAAGATATTTTTCAAAGAACCCTAAGAATTTGAAAATATGTGGAGATATTTTTAAAAGCTCCTTACGAATTTTAAAATTTCTCGAGATATTTTTAAAATCTTCCTACGAATTTAAAAATATGTCGAGATATTTTCCAAAGCTTCCTACGGAATTTTTGCTACGAAGCTTCTTTTGCAATTTTAATTTATGATCGTGTAACAGGTCAGCACTTTAGTGTGCAACGAATTATATCTTACAGACCATTTGCACAGATTATGTGTATTTACTGACAGATTGATTCTTCGGAGCGGAAGCTGACGTGCAACAGCATTACACACACGACGCGCGGCCCATGTAAAACCGTTATGTAAAAGTCACGACATTTGTATTGACATGCCGTCTACTGCTGCGGCTGCTGTTCCGGAAGTCAATGATAGTATTTAAAACATTTGGTGTTTCGTTTGCCAACGCTGCACAAATCGAGAAATGGGAGGACTACTTTTACAGTGGAGATGTAGAATAATGTAGTCTTGAAAAAGAATGTCCTACTGGTCAGAATTTTTAAAGGAAAGAGACAAATTTTAAATATTCTTTAAAAACTATCGAAGCGTTTACTAAATAAAAATGTTAATTCAAGTATGTGTCTATCGTTGAATGTTTCTCTCTTCCCTAAGAGTGAATAGATATTTCATTCTGTAATATGAAAAAGAACCCAAAGAAGACGAGATACCGCTGGCCTCCTTCTTGACCACTCGATAACTAACTGTCTCCTGGGAAAATAGAAAACGTGCGAATTCGTGGAGACACCTAACGAGGCGTGTAATGAGACAGATATCTAGTTTTATTCGAATATTTGCACCCACTTGATAACGAGGTAAAGGCTCGCTCCGTACCGGATGTACGGTATTCGGAGGCCGTACTTGGAAGAATGAGTTGACGCGTACACGTTGACACGAGCCCAGTGCAAAGTTGGTGGCGTGTAAGCAACGGTATTGCCTCGAAAAGTGTCACAATTGCTTCGTCCAAGTCCGACCTGGCTCGTGTCGAAACTCGTTTCGAGATGAAGTTGCGAAATTAACGCTGAAAATCGAAATCGACACGAATGTCAATTTTTTAGAGTTCCTATTCTATCCATCCCAGGACAGATACGCACAATTATAAATTAATTAACGGAGTAGAATTCCAGAAGTCTATATTAATATTAATCACTTCGTTCATTAATTATTTGCATTTCGTTCCTAAAGTATCACGAAACGTTGCTAGACAAACTTCCATGTGGCTCGACTTCCATTGTTCTCTATTTTAATATAGATTAACGTCGCATTAACACCTAGGTAATTAGCGACGGGAATGTTGAAAGTTTACTTAGATTATTTTATCAACAATTGTCGTTTCTTCGATGAATTCAAGCAGGTCGTGAATCTTATCCTTTGTAATGTAGTCATTTATTGGAGTTTCTATGTATTTTATATATTATCGATGTGTCACCTTTGCTTCTAAATTGTTGCCTTTAAATAAACGACAGTTTTTAATGGGCACACATCTTTTGCAATCGACTTATCCCCAAGTAACATCTAAATACTTATCGATCCAATAATTCTTCAACTTTTCGTTCATTCTCTGTAGACCCTTCTTACCAATTTCGATCTTCCGATTATGGCCAGTTTTCGACTTTCTTTTTTCAACAGGAAGAAGAACCATGCATCGGTGACGCAACGGCATACGAAATATGTTTGCTGCTGGGTGCCATTCTTAATATTTAACTGCGAGTTTTCACTGTTACTACTTACGAAACTCTTGGCAACGACTGAAAAGTTCTCAACGGCGCCGAGATGATGCTGATCAAGAGTTTCTTCCGGAGGATCATCAAGGACTTTCGGCACAAAGAGCTCCTACCCCTTAAAATGATATTTTTCGTTCAGGCATCGAGTAAGCACTTACTACACACCATGTACAAACAGTTAAAAGGAATAATTTATTCTACTTCGCTTAGATCATGACTATTTATTATGTTGAATTAACATAAGCAAATAATTTCAAAACAATTCTTTCCCTACTCATAGAATTTCTTACTCTTTTTAAATACTCTGTACATCTTTTATTTTGCTTCGCGCTTTGTCTCAAACGCGACAGTAACATTGATCAACGACTTTTTCAGCACTCTATGTACTTTATCCATACTTGACGATTCACATGAGGGAGCTTGGCATAAACGTGGAGGAAACTGCTATAATGAGCGCTATAACGCCGGTGATCGCGATGGTGATGCCACCCTTGGCAGGAATGTTCGCCGACCGCGTGGGAAACTTTAAAGTAATATTCCACTGAACAATTGTTTTTTCAACTGACTCTAACAAAGTGTGGAACTCTTCGTTGGTGTCTTCACTCTATACCATGTTTAACCCGTTCACTGCCAACGAGATGTCTCGTAGTTCAAATTGATTGCAATTACTCAAGGGATAAGTTTATAGCCTTTAGAGCCACGAATTATCGCAAAAGAAGATCGTAAATTTCCTTTTTAAAACAACAAATTTAATATCACATTTTATTATCAAAATAATAACCTAGATTACACATCTGTATCAAATCTTGGCGTCCAAGGTGTAAAACGTTTTAAATTTGCCTGGCAGTGAGCGGGTTAAGAGGATAAGAATCCATCGACGATCTGGACACCATAATTCATCGAATTGAATCGACCAATAACCAATTAAAATTGAAATAAAAGATCCTTATCCTCTCCTTTCGCGATGCTAACAGCTTGTATCCGTCGTGTAAACGAAGATAAACGAAACCCTAACGTCGTTGCTTCCCATTCAGATTTTACTATCCCTGTTTTCGTCCTTTGGCGGAGTCGCGGCGCTTTTATTGCTGCTCGTGCCGATTGGCAGGATAACCGTGGAATTTCCGGACAGAGTCGTTATGGATCTCGGATGCACAGGGAATAACGAGCTGCTCTACACGATGAGCCAGAGTCATCCATGCGAGACCAAGTTGCAAAGCGAAATCTCCACGAGGCTTGAGAGTTGCGGGTAGGTAAGGGTTTGTGTCGCGACCGATTCAACTTTCATTTAATTATGAGAAGTTGTTCATTACTCATTCGATTTCGTTAATTTTTGCTCCACAATGATTCATTTATCGATTAACAACATATGAGATCGAATTATAGCGAGGGTAAGTTCCAGAATTGTTTACTTGCAGTTACACCTGTCGTCTGGACGTTCACAATGACACGGGCATGGAGTCCATCTTGTCGTCGAAGATATACTCTATCAGACGGTACAATTTGGATACTGGCGCAAATTCGTCATTCAAGTTTGCGATTGCTCAAAACGACATGCCGGTGGTACGATCAAGATTCAAATTTAATTGTTCCATTTAATAAACTGCTGTACGTTGGTCCTGTGAAATTTTG